TATGGAATTTCTTCTGCTTTAGCATGTTCCAGATCACCAAACTAATTTTAAATTCAGACAAAGATGAACTGAGTAAATTTTAAAAAAGCTAATGATTATTTAATTATTAAGAGGAAAATGTTACTGAAAACAAGCTTTCTTTTCCTCATTGGGTTTTAAGTTAACCAGTTACAAGAAGCGTTTTCTGAAACCTCTGAGTTAAGTACAACTGATAGTGACCATTTCTATCACATTGAAAAAGAAAAGCTCATCTGCTGCATAATAAAAGATAGAATAGACTTCCCTTGTTTAGGCTTTATCTAATCTGAGAATTTGAATCTAGTTTACACTACAATAATTCATTCACCTGTTCACAGTGCATATCTCCTAGTTTGATTTATTCTAGACACTGTAGTCTGATCAGTGTTTGCCATCAACAAGAGGAGCATTTTTTTTTCCTAAACATAAACTATTTTATTGTTTATGTGACTCTAACAAAATACATTTCTTTTTATAAAACACAGTTCATTCTCTGTCAAGATTCTAAGATCATGTGAATGTGCAAATACTTGAACTTGGGCCATTAGATTGGATGTTACTCATCTCGCCCTTAATAAGCATTGGCAAAAAGCCATACCTTTTAAATTGGAATATTCAGCGTCTGGTGTTCTCATGAATTCCTTATGTATTTATTAGATTTTGGATGGATGAGTCAGAACAAAATCACTAAAAATAAACCATTCCAACATGATGGCTTAGAAATCAATTTGAAGGGACAGGTTTATATATTTAAAAAATCAACAAAATGAAGACTAATAAGAAAGAAAGGTTTATCACAACCTTGGTATGTTATTCTCACTTATTGTAGCCAGTCACTAATATCTCTAGAAGAGGATGCATGGTTAAAAATTCTAAAGGATGGTTCTTTTGGAAAAATGTGCTGATGACTGATGTAGGGGCTTTGCAGCTGCTGGCACTATTGTGTCACAACAGGAAGTTTCTGGGTTCACCTCTCAACCAGGAACTTTCTGCATAAAGTTCATGTTTTTCCCTCTGCGTGAGTGGGTAGTCTGGTTACACTCCAGAACCTGCAGGTCATTTTTATTGCCAAGGATGAGTAATAAAGACTTAAAATTTTATTAGTGTTTTGTGACATTTATTGTGCTAACACTAGAAGTCACAATGACATAATGATTATTCATCAGGAGAAATTTCTCAGGTTTACAGAAGGTTTTTCTACAGAAGGTGTCTAAGCCTCACATCTTTTATACATCATCTACAGCTATGAAGTCCATTAACTTTGATTATTTGTTTTCCCTCTGATTATTTTTTCTGTTCAAAGAAGTTCCACTTGGCCTGATTTTTCTCTTTAACAGTGGCACCTTCCTGGAGGGTGGCCAACTATTGTGGCCATTATTTACGGTCGGTTTTTATAGATGAAACACACAGCATGTTTGTCCAGAAAGAGAAATTGCTGTAAAGGCAGCGCTTGATGCAGTCAGCTGGATTTCCTCCGATTTAGCATTCACACACAGCTTTTCACCATCTGGGAGAATTAGGAAGAAGGCAGTGATATTTTAAACATAGTCAAGACACACCATATGGTTGCCAACATAAATCATTAAGGGTAATCCCTGTCATTTGCCTCCCATGTAAACAGATAATTTTCTTTGCTGCCAGGCAGCGCGGGATGATTTGGCAAGTTAAAATTGCATCCAGCAGCTGACACAACTGAGTGAAATGGAAGGACGTGGATCTAATAAAGTGCTGTATTTTGTTTTGTGGTTTATGTTTACACTCATTCCCTTTCCTCCCACTCTCCTGTAGCCACAGTACTAATGGATTAAACTTTTTGAAAGCACAGAGGTTAAACATTCAAGTATTTTTTGTATAACCTTCTATGTAAAACAGTTGTTACAAGCTCTTATTTTTCAGAAATGTTTACAGTGATCCAGGATTTGCATGCTGCCTCTGATTTTTAATGCAGGTCACTGACACACTGGACCCCTAGTATTTCTCCCTCTTTTTCACAGTGGTAGCAAATTTGAGTGCTGCTGTTCACAGGTCATTGGGCTCAGTTGCCTCGGGATTTTGGACACTGGAACAATGTTAGCGTCCATGAAACATGAGATAACGGTGAAGCAGAGGATGAGGGAGGACAGCTGATAATTGGCTTGGAAAGGCCATTGGACATGCCCTTGAAGGGTTTCTACAAGTGTTTATCAATTCATATTATTCATTATATCAAGAAAGGAAAAGGGACTTTTTTCGTCTTATCTTCTATATTCAGTCTGAAACTTTATGATAATGGCTAGAAGAATTCACATGAGAAAATGATGTGTATGCTAAAATGTAGACCCTTAAAATAAGCTGTTTGGCCAAATGTGCTTGTGGACAGACACTGCTTTTGAGAAACTGGCTTTATGCTTTCCATCGCTTAAATATAATGAATTTTTAATGAAAAACCTCATAACCCTGGGGGCTGTGTGTTTGCTGCTTCATATCCAAGCCTGCTTTTGAACACTGAAAAAAAACTGTTCGGGCAAAATTAAATACTGCTTCAAGTCCAAACATCTGAAGTCTGTAGAAAAAGGATTGCGCCATTACCATTCCATCCAAATCTCAGATGAACCTTTGAAGTTTGGGTCTCATCTCAAACGGATCAACCTTCTGATGTTTTAAATTCTTAGAATTCTGACATTTCTACACACTGTACTTGTTTAAGTGATGCAATGGTTAGTTTATCTGTCACAATGCTGTCTTTTAACTTTAATATTGTAGATCATCAACAAAGAAATAAAAATCATAAAATAAACCTATTTAATCTACAAAATATGCACTATGTTGTGGAAATAAGAAGTCATTTTTAGTTTATAAATTATAATTTCATTTTTTTAATGGTGAAAAGTAAGCTAAACCATATTAGGGCTACAAGAAAATTTTATCATTGCCCAATCCTACTGAGTACTTAGGTCCTTCTTGTCTGATAAATATACCAGTGACTTTGTTTCTCATCTGTTCATGAATGCCGTCAGATTAGCGCATAATGTGTTTGCATATTTTATCCTTATTTTATCACAAGTTCAGTTTAATCGATCACTTGATTCTAATGGTCTGGCAGAAAGCAGGCCTGCGGATGGGAATTTAACAAAAGGCAGGTTTGTTTTTTCTTTCTTCGTAACATATCATTGTTCTGGAACATTTAAGTGTGGAACAAAGCTAAAAGAAAAGAATTCCAAAAGCGCCTGTGTTAAATATAACATTAGTCTATTTCCTCGTGCTTTACATCATAGGACTTATTTTTTCCTGTGTGACGTAATTTGAAATCTATCTTATATTACATACTGACTAGACAACCATGAAGTGAGCCTGACTGAGAATCACAGCAGAGTCTAGCCACAGAAAACTTACCATTACACTCATCTGAAGGCGAGTATTGTGCCTGAACCTATTCATTATGTTGTGCATCACAGCTAATATGCTGTAAAATTCCATTCTTTCCGGTGGCAGAAAGCAGAGCCTGTGCTGGGTGTGGAATACAAGCTTGGACAAGCACTCACCCACTCATGGTGAGTAATTCATGACGCATGTTGCAACTTCATGTATGAGCCAGATAGCCTGAAGCTGTAGCTCTTCTGTGACGCTTCAGTTTTGTCAAGTGCAAGGGTATCACAACAGCCATTATGTAGTATACAGTACACACAAACTGTAGGGGGGTGATAAGGAGCTGAGTTTGTGGCAAAACTTTTCAAGCTAAGTCAAAAATCACAGCTTTAAAGGGTTAGATGCAAAGGCAAGGGAAAACGGGGGATTTAAGTTCCTGTATCTTCCGTGACATGAGAAGGACAGGAGATGGAATGATAAGAAAGTGCAAAGAGATAATTGTGTTGTTTGATGGGTCTCCAAATCTGAACATAATTTATGATGTGCTGAAGACTTGAATAGTTTCCAGTATGTTTTCCAATCATTATAGAGAGAGCATTCACTTTTGTTAAAGCAGTTTCACACAGATTCAAGCATAGTTCCAATGTGTTTCCCATACCCTAATTAAAATGCTACATGAAGTGGAGTACTTATCATCATTCATCAGGTTGCTAATTATGCAGATATTTTCTTATGTCAAGCCTAACTTGTAGCTGAATTTTAGCCAGTTTCTACGGTGACAACAAAGGCAACATGTATAATGATTTTAGCATAAACAGTTTTTATTGTAAGATTAAATTCTTGTTTGCCAAATTATGTAACGGGTTTTTCCATTACATAAGAAAGAAAATTTGGAAGAAGAGATAAGCTTGTTCACGAAAGCTGATTTGCTGGAGAAGAGTGGACAGCCAGAAATCTTGAAGTATGGTGCTGCTTGTATTGTCGCAGCAAACTCCTTTTATAAGCGTAAATGTACTTTCCAACTCCAATATTATGTGATCACCACAGTGCCTTTTGTATGTTCCATATGTGTTAGTTCCTGTTCCCTTTTGTCCTTTGTGCAATTTCTGTTTTTTTGTTGTTTTTTTTCTCTGTGTGTGACACTATTGTTTAAAGACAGCCAGGGTGTTGAACCTGTTTTGAGTCCAAAACGTTAGTGTATTATGTCACTTTTCATTGTTATTCACAGGTGTTTTAAAGTTAGGACTATATGCGATATACATCAGAAAAAGTAGTATAGTAAATATATATTTATTTGATTAAAAACAAACCAAAGAGCTGTGTAACTTATCTTTTTGAAGTAATTTTTTCTATATGAAAAATGACAAAGCCTACAGCATGTTTTGTGGTTTTTCTTTGCATATTCTTTAACGTTATATAACCAAAAAGAAGCTGCCAAGGGAAGGGAATTTTCTAGCATGTGTATTTTGTCATGCTCTGCCCAAGGAGGAGAGAAAAAGCGTGAGAAAGTGAGAGGAGGAGGAGCTTTCATGAACAGGTGTGTCTACCTTCCTGAGTGCTTGTTTCTGACGTGATACCTTCTGCTTGTGTATAAAGGCAGAGGCGTGATTCAACCGCTTCAGATTCATACTTACAAAGTTCAAGCTTGCTAATTGTTGACTCAGCCCTGGGCATCATTGCTATCATGAAGATGAGGAATCTTTTTCCAGCGATTTTTCTTGGACTTCTTGCCGTGATCCACTCCTCACCTATTGACTGTGAGATATATATTTCTTTCTATAATATTTAATTTTCAAATCAATAATATCATTAGAATATATTTGATGATATAATTGTAACAATTAATTGAGAAGTAAGAAAAAATTGCTTTGAGAGATTGTCACTTAATTCTGATCATGGTTTAGTATGACTGACCAAATCTAATTTTTTTATTCTATAGTATGTAGTCTTTTAACTTTACACTATGACTCAGCATGTAGCTATAATTCTCTGTGTATTTTAGCTCTAACTCCTGCACGAGTCATATTTCTTAGCTGCTGCTCAAGTCTCAATGCCACCCCCAGAGAACACACAGAGGGCTTTGTAAAAAAAAATAAAATAGTGAGCTGCTCCAGTAGGTGCATTTATGTGTTGATCTTGATTACTGTGAAACCAAATATCAGCAAATAGTTGTTACACCAGTTTGGGCAACAACTAATCTCAGAAGAGATATACACCTTACATGAACATGACTGAGCAAAAGAGAAAAAGAACATGATTTAAAGTTAAGGCCCTTCACTTTTATCTATTTTTAAAGGTAACGGCCCAGGTTATTGTTTTCAATGATGGACAGACAGTTTCCTACCTTTTCTGCATTAGTATAGGTTTTATTATCTAATATGAAAAATTATTTATCCATTTTTTTTCAAATTTTACCATCAATTTGTTGATAAAAAATTTGCATAAAATAGTACTTCAACCTTTTAGCTATGGAAAAATAAGCAATGAAGAGAACAAACAAAATAAATAAAAATGTCCCAAATGTGAATTCTGACTCCTCACCATCAGTGATCATGAGTCAGGGTATGGTGAGACAATTGTCTGTAGCCAAAAAACATCTCTGAAATGTTGCAAGAATAAGACATTAACAACATCACACCTGGTAAGTTTAGGCATAGCTTTTAATATGTATTTGTGACTCATTAATTCCATTAAAATAATTTTAAATTGAAAAGTCACTTTTGCAACTAAAACAAAGAAATACATATAAATGAGAGACAAACGTCTAAAAATAGCATATAATAATTCACAAATTTACATTTGTAAGGGCAAAACAAACATTAGCATGCTTAGCAGTGAGCTTGCACCATTATTTATCCTATTGCATCCTTTTCAACATTTATCCTTTCCCAGTAAAAGGGAAGTAACTTCATTAGTCATCATTGCTCTGATGAAGTAGGTGTGACATATTTTGAGAATAATGCTTTGTCATTCTGTCTCTTTTGTTTCCCAAATATTAGTCACACAGGTTAATTATTATGGTTCTCACCACACCTTATATCAAAGAGGAGTGTAAAACAAGCTAACACGAGAACCCCTGGTTCAATTATCTGTTGTAATACATAAAAGAGCTTAGAAACTTTCCTTTCCATTCATGTCGTGACCAGTTTGTAAATATATCAGTTCATTCATAGATTTTTCTTTTTGTTCTAGCTATGACCCAGATTCCTGCCAGGCCAGAGGAGGACGTTCTAGAAGAGGCCATGACTGATGGGTTCCTTGTTGAACACTTTACTGGCCCCTCATTCACAACTGAGCCACCCAAAATAAATACAACAGTTCAGGCATCCCAGCAGCCATCTTTGGAAATCTTACCTGAAGGCAGCGGTTTCTACCGTACTTCTGCCACTGAATCACATGAAACGACCACAACCAACTTGCAGACATTGTTTGTAGACTCAAACGAGGGCAGTGGTTTCCTCGGGACACCTACTTCACCAACAACCAAAACACCTGAAATCACTAGAACTATTTCTCCGTCTCCACAAGTGATCTTTGAAACCCCAGTTGAGGGAAGTGGCTTCACAGAATCTCCTACAACAGAATCTGCCAAGCTATCTACAGTCATTCTACAGACGAGCACAGATTTCCTAACAAATGGGAGCAGGGACAGTTCAGTATTCAGTTTAAGTCCTACGACAACATCTCAGAGTGCTTCAACTGCATTGACCCCTTCCTCCACAAAAAAGTCTATGCAATCACCATCCACTGAAATTTTTTTAAAGCCAATAGGCAGAGGCTTTATCGGACAATTAGGAAAAGGTCGAGAGGTCTTTACCGAAGGAGTTTCAACAAAACAAGTTCATCACCCCGAAGGTAAATTTTTTGTAAATAATTATGATCATACGTAAATTAAATATTTGATAGAACAATATTGTATTGTCCTAGAGAATGTTTAATTCTGAGTTGTTCTGCTTCTTATTAACAGAAGATGTAGGCATGCACAAAGGACACATCACACCTGGTAAGTTTAGGCATAGTTTTTAATATGTATTTGTGACTCATTAATTCCATTAAAATAACCAATTTTAACCAAAAACCATTTGTCCAGATTGGATCATCATCCTTGCATTTCTAATTGCCCTGGCTGCACTTATAGCTCTTTGCGCTGCCATTGCTACCAGAGACAAGTAAGACCTAACTGTTGGAATACCAATCACTATTTTTACTCCTACACTCTTTAAGTGCTGAATTAATTTTTTGTTGTTGACTTCCTAATATGTAGATGGAATGGTCCACAGCAGACATCTGAGAACAAAACTAATGCTTCGAACCAGAAGAGGGAGCTGGAGATGCAGACTTTCCTGCACAAAGAAGAGCCCAAAGAGAATGGAATGGAAACTGAGTACACGGTTATTCCACTGGACGATCTTACTGACCATCATTCATAAGACTGAGTTTCAGAGACCAACCCTCAGACTCAGCTGTTAATCATAAGACTGTTTCTTAAAGATTATAACATTTGAACAAAGGAACAAAACTTGACATATTTTTTATTAAATCTGTCAAAATTGGGCTGTTTTTCTTTTTTCTTCTTTTTTAATGATGCCTTTCAAAAGCTTTAACGAGACCTGTACTTGAACTGTAAAACAAAACAAAAACAAGCAAAAAAAAAAATGGCAGAGATATTTATTTTCATAATTAACTTTTTTCATTACTTGTAAGATAGACAAATATATATGTGTGGTGCACAAATATATTTTATTTCATTTCAACAAGGAAAGATTTTACAATGTATATTATTTTTTCCTTTTTTTACTTTCTTACAATTTGTATTTTTTAAATGTGTATTTGTTTTAATATTATTTGAGAGTCTTGATAGTGAATAATGTTTTGTGTGTTCTAACTTATATGAAACTACTCTGCTGCTTTCCCATTTTCATTTTGCAAGCTGGGAGCACTGTATGGAGCTCAGCCTGCTAACTCCACTGCTCTTCCTTCTCCCACACGGCACTTCAAAGGTTGTGAAATGCACTTGCCGAATATCCACTGCATCCCACGTCAAACAGGAAATAAACACAACAGAAACACATCGGTACATATTTATCTGTGTTTTTATTTCATATTTACACACATGTATTAAAAGATTTACGCACACTATTTTCTGGACAAATCCTTCAGTACAAGTTCATTCAGTTCTGTAGTCAGCCAATGTTATGAACAGGGAAATTTGTATTCATTCTCCAAAATATGCATTGAAAAAAAATTAAAATATAGTATATCTGAAATTTTAAATGATAAAAGTAAACAGAAACAAAATGGGTCAAACTCACTAATAATGTATATTTCAAATGAGAAAACCAATGAAAAATGAACTTTGATGCATTTCACATATAGCTGATTTAAAAAATATAAATACAATTATGCAGTTAGTCTTTCAAGGTGACAAAGCCATACAAATCAGAGGGCTTGATGGTTTTATTCATGTAGGCATAATGTAGCTGCCAACATCAAGTTGTGCACACATTCAAAACCACCTCAGCAGAATCAGAACCAAAAAATACAGCCTGCATGCCTTGCAAAGTCATAAAATTTGCTCCTTTAAAAAAAACAAAAAAAAAAACAAGAGAAATTGTTTGAGTACGTCTTTATCTTACTCTTTCACAGCCCATTAAAACGTCTATTGGGCCAATAAATAAGTAGAGAAATAGCATTGCTCTATTATTGCTTAACAGTGTTAATAAGAATAGTATTTTTCAGAAATATTTAGGATAGCAAAAACACTTGTGACAAAAAAGTCAAGTCTAAACACTTGATTTGTATATCTCTAAAATGTATATATACACAAAGTGCAAGCAGGCACTTTAAACAAGGATGTATAAGCTGCTGCTTATAAAAAATAATCCATTTGTTTGCTAGGATTGATTAGGGTTTCTTAGCCTGGAATACTCAAAAACATGTGAAAACAACATTCAGTGACCTTGTAGTTACAATGCTGGATTTATGAAAGTGCTGGAGGCAAAATTTAGTGTGCACTTGCTAAACAGATGTGACCATAGACAATTAAGTCTAGATCCAATTACAACCTTGTTATTTATATGCAAATCTGATGTGAAAAATCTACAAAATCTAAAACAATCTTGTGAGAAGGCCCAGCCATCCTCAAATGCTGTGTTTTCTCTGCAAATGTATCGGGTGAATTTAAGTCCACTAAAAAGTTTAGCAACGTCAGTCCAGAAATATTTTAGTCAAAGTGATCACACTCTGAATGTGACATCTTCAAGGCAAGGTTGTTGTATAGCACAGAAAAAAGAACAGTTTGTAATAAAACACAAAAACCTATGTCCTACTTAGATTTTCAGAGAAATCTTGTTTTTGTTTGTTTTTTCTTGTTGAACCACTAGCTTTCTTTTCCTTTTAATCTTTGCTCTTTTCAGCCCCAAAATGCACCGACATAATCAAACATCCTTCCCAGGTCATATGCAAGCAGACACTCATTGGTTCATAAGTTCGTAAGAACAGACATGTAAAGTAGAAATAGATAAATAAATAAACACAGCAACCGATTTCTTCTCCGCGACACATTCTGTTCTGTTTGTTGCCACTTTTAGAAGCCACTCCCTGTCTTAAGTCTTAAGCTTTACTTCTTAGGCTTGACCACGTGTCTGAAGGTATAATCCCATAAATCAAACAGTCAGAGGTAATGCGACGCTTAACAGTCCTGTACTTTAAGTTAATGCCCGCTGAAGCAGGGCTTCATTTTGGTTATGTTCTTTTTAGTCTTTGGATAAATCAAACAGCAGTGAAAGTTACACATTTGTGAATGTCAAATATTTAATGACAAAGTTTGCATTTCATCAGCAAATGTCTTACTTCATTCTGATTCTTTGTTACAATCTTGACTGCCAAGGCAATTTTTCCAACATTTTCATGTCTTTGTTCCTTAGGCCATGGAGCAAGTGATTAAACACAACAATAAAGAAATCAGTTGTCTTGACAAGAAAGGAAGAATGCAGCAACCCTGAGTAAGGTCCTGAGTGTCGTCAGCCAACTATTTGACTCATCCGAAGAATTGCTTGAAGCAGAAAAGTTTATTCCAGTTTATGCATAGACTTCCAGATGTAAGATCAAATTTACGATGGAAAAGCACAGCGTCCTCCAGTGGTTACTCGGGAGAGAAAGGGAACCCTTTGTTGACTTGCAGAAGAGTTTCAATTCTGTCATCTCATTGCGCCCTCTGTGTCCTTGTACAAAATATATATGCTTTTTTTTGTTATTTGTTTGTTTATTTTTATTAAATTAGTGTCCTCCGAAAGTTACAACTGGTCAAATGCAGGCTAGAGTGCTGAATCTGCATTACTTGAAATTCCATGGATCCTCCTCAACAATAGAGAACTCTGGAGTGTTGCCATTTTTGCCGTTTTTGACCTGCAAGCAATTATCAAGAACAGCTAACTATTTGGGCCAAGGCACCATCATGAACAAATACTTAGTGGTTGTGGGAAGAGAAGCCATTCCTTCATTACATTGAAAGCATTAACCAGCTGACAGACTTTAGTTTACAAATCCCCCCAAAAAAGTCAAATATGCCATATCACAAACAAATGGATACGGAGGTTCTGTTTACATGTTCCTCTTACTGAGAACACCAAAACATTTCTCCAAAGTTGGTCATGTATCTTATGGATTCTCTCCCCAACCGAATTACAATACTGACAGTATAACATGGGCAGTGAAATGTCAACAAATTCTGTTGTTTGTGCACAAACAGAACTACAAAAATAAGTCTGAGGCATTTATGAATGCAATGCATCGCTAGCGATGACATATGGTGAATTAGCAGTCTTTATGCATACCACAGGCTGCAAAAGAATTTAAAAACTTGTCTGTTGATTAACGAGTGTAATTTGGTTAGGGTTGCCATAAATACATGTCCAATTAGACAAAGCAAATAAAAATATTACAGCACAAAAAATAAATAAATAAAATTAAAATGTAAGCATTCACAAGAAAACACAGTGTTGTTAAAGTTTAGAAAGAAAAATCCTTTTAGTATTTCTGTGACTTCTTGATTAATAAAACAAAAAAAGACAGACTTTGCTTTTGCTGAATCTGGTATCACAAAAACTGCTTTTTCGTTCTGTTTATGGGTGAACAAATAAATATGGACATATTTATTTTAAAGTTTCACCACTTATAAATATATTTTCATGAATGAAAATATCACAAGTGCTATGACCAAAGACACATAAAGGGATAAATTAAAAAAAGAAAGCACACCAATAGGACAAACACAAAGCTGAGGGTTTTCTCTACATACAAGTCTCTATGTCTGTTAATGTGAAATGTACCTTGCAGTCGTCTATCAGGATTGAGTTGTGGTGGGTATACATATTCTGGTTGGTGTTGTTTTCAAAAAATGATTGTGTCTTTGCCATCTCAAAGTCATCCATCCGGGTCTGCTGGGCATCATACATGTCCAGTTCGTCTTTGGAAAGGTAGTAAACAATTCCGGCACCGTAGGAGTCCCCAACCACATTAACAGAGGTCCGGAAACGATCGCTGCATGTTGATAAATGATAGAAAGAAAAAATATATGAGCAAATTATTACAACAAACTACAAACATTAGCGTTGTTCTATTAGATAGATATGGTCCAAACTCATATCACCTCCAAAATTGTATGACTTGGTTCTAAATACTGAACATTTATTTTTATGATCTTCAGGTGGTTTTCTCTTTTCTCTTTATGTCTCTTTTTTGGGCTTTTGATGTCATAAACATTATATATGATCATTAAATTGATATAAAAAAAATCAATCAGAATGATTGTGATGTTCATCATAGTGATGTGATTTTCTAAAATGACCTAACTCTCTACATTGGTTCTAAAATTCTAAGTTTTAGAATAAAACTAATGCTAACATGGCCTTCAGCTCTTAAGTTTTCAATAATGAAAGCAGTGTTTGTGTACAACTCACAGCAGCCAATCAACAGCGACCAGGAGGCTTATGTCCTGAGTGGGGAGTCCCACTGCTGTGAGAATCAGAAGCATGGTCACAAGTCCTGCACTGGGAATACTGGCTGCTCCAACACTGGCCAAGGTGGCTGTCATGCTAAACAGGAGACAAATTCATCTCTTAGCAGGTGAAGCCAAAGGCTGAATGTTTTCATTTTTCTTTGCAAGTATTGGATGTAAATGCAGTAGAAATACCATTAATAACAGATTCACAACTAAAATCTGGATATTCTGGGGATAAATAAATAAACAAACCAATTCTTAAAGAATTAAAGGTTGCTTGGTTTAAATTATTTGAGAACATTTTAAGGTTAGTGAAGAATAAATTAAAATATGATGAACGGTATTTATGATTTGACAATTTTAAAAACTCAAGGAAAACAGAGTAAAGCAATGCAATTGTAACATTTATCTCTGGCCACATCCTCACCTCACAGTGATTATCTGGCCCCAGTCCAGCTCAATCCCATTCATTTGAGCGATAAAGATGGCCGCCACCGCCTCGTAGAGCGCCGTACCGTCCATGTTAATGGTGGCCCCCACAGGGAGGACAAAGCGTGTGACCCTCTTGTCAATGCCCAGGTTTTCCTCTAAGCATCGGAATGTGACAGGCAAGGTGCCAGCACTGGTGAATCAACAGACAAAAACATTCTCCATGATGACAGTGATATTTAGGTTTTATACTCCACTTACATTTATAGCTAAATCTTAAAACAACAACAACGCTTCTAGACTGTCGGTAATTATTTTTTTTTTATTATTATTTTTTTTTATTACCGGGTCTAGTCATAAAAAAACAACAGTGAGCCATTATAAAGAAATATGTGAAATTATCTAGATCCCCACATACAATGGTATAAATGAACTGACGTGTCTGTTTTGTTTTACAGTGACTTGATATATATTTCTGCTGTAAATAATGATTGATTCCTGATAGGTTGTTATTAGATGTTCATGTAATGTATTTCTTAAAGAGTAATTGGATTCTGCTAAAATCAGTTTCTGAATAGAGCCCTATTGTTTTCTTCTCAAATACACTGATTGGTACCATAGATAACTGTTTGATTGTTGTGCAATATTATA